GTCTCTCTCTGTCCCGTTGGCAAGCGCCCACGGCCTATAGCGAAAAACCCCTCCAAAAAAAAAAAAAAGTTTTTTTCCAACAAACATGAATTATTTATGTAATTAGAAGAGAACAAAGATGGTCGTTGTAGAAATATATTTAACAGCATAAAAGATATTCACATCCCAATGATGACTGAATAAAGCCACTTAAAGAAAATATGAGTTATATGATATTTTGGTTATAAGTTATATGAATATATAAAGAGAAAAATAATCTGAAAGTAAAATTTAACATTAAACTTAATACACCAAAATAATATAATCTGCTTTGGTTGGTCTAAAATGTTCAAGAGATATTGTCATGATTCCAGCACAATAAAATAAGAAAAGCCGAGTAGATGGTCCTTTATATCGTCGATCCATTGTTATTAATTTACATAAGCATTATTCCCCTTCGCCCCGCAATACGAGCTGCCACTGGATAGAGGGTTAGCAGAGCCTCACTCAGATCCAGCGACGGCTACAGAGCTCCATGTCAATGAGACAGCAGAGACAGGCACGGAAATGGTTGCCAGGAAAACCCCAGAGTTGTGACGGCAGCTCGAGTCTACACTACCCGCCTTAGGATAACAACATAGGCTGTGCCCTAACTTCAGGGCTCTGAGGTTAACACAGACCTTTACAAAAAGCAAAGTGTCCCCGTTGAGTGAATTCTTTATTTATGCATAGCTCATTTTATTTCAGTAGGGACTAAGACATCTTTTTTTTTGGGGGGGGGAGAGATTTTCACTATAGGGCGCGTGCACTCACCAGACAGAGAGAGACATAGAGACAGAAAGCAAGAAATCACCCCCCAGCGGGGATGGTCACGCCGCAATCCCTTCTCCTCCATTCTCCTCTCAGGATCTTGGGCACGCACGCACACGCGCCCGGCATGAGTTTTAAGCCACCGGGTCCGGGATGCGAACTGCGGTTGACTACATGGGAGTCCAGCAACATAGCCATTACGCTAACTGCTAGTTCCTGGGACTAAGATATCTTCTAAGTCCTATGGACTGACAAGCAAAAAGAAACTACTTAGCTTTATAAAAGAAGATGAATACCTCTGTTGTTTAAAAATTGGAAAACTAGTAATTCACAAAGGAATGCACATAGTCAAAACTTCATGAAAAGATAGGAAATAATCAAAAGTAACATCAAATTAAAATAATTTTTACTTATTAAACTAGCAAAAATTATTTTTTAAAGAAAAAAAAGATTGGAAAAGGTATGGGGAAACAAATATTTCCCAAACACTGCTTACCGGAGGACAAACTGCTGTCATTTTGGGGATGGAATTTAGTAGTACCTAACCAAAACAACTTTTCTGTATCTATTAAATCTTACATAAACATACATACATACACTCTAACTAGCACGTACATGCGCAGGAATTTATTCTAATGAGATAAGTGGGCAATCGTACTCAGATGTATTTACAAAGATGTTCGCACCAGTATGGTTTATTAAATTCAGTAAATTATGGTCCATCAAAATAGCAGAACACTCCAAAAACACTAAAAAGTACTGCTATGTAAATTATTGGATTATGTGGAAATGTATTTTATTAGATATTTCTATAGGCTTTAAGCATTTTTCACTAAACATGCATTATTTCTGCAACTACTGTAGAAGACAAATAATGATATATGAATATATGTTTATTGATATAAAAGAGATTCATAATACACTGACAACCTGACAAGTGAATAAGACTATTTATAGAAAATATAGATTATACCATTTTTAAAGAGAGGTTTTTGCTATAGGACACATGTGCTCGCCAGAGAGACAGAGACAGACAGAGAAACAGAAAGTGAGAAATCACTCCCTCAGGGCCACACCACAATCTATTCTACTCCATTCTCCTCTTGGGATTTTGGGTGTGCATGCGTGCACACACACACCCAGCATGAGTTTTAAGCCACTGGGTCAAGGACTCAAACCATGGTCAACTGTATGGGAGTCCAGGGATGTAACCATTACATCATCTGCTGGTCCTGGATTATACTATAATGTAAAAAATATATGACTTTACAAAGATAAAAGCAATTTGAAACTAAACATAGAAAAAATGTCAATAACAGTTTGCTCTGAGGAACGGGATAATTCATAATTTTTATTTTCTTTCTTTTGCCTATCTGAATTTTCTACTTTTCCACCACTGACTTAAAATAATCTATATAGCAAAAAAAAGGGAAGCGGATGGGAAGAGCAAGTTAGTTTTTTGAATGAAAACCTAAGTTTGAATGAAGGTAGCCAAATCTGCTGAAACTTAACCTAAAATCCTCCTCATCATCATCATATATACACATTTTTAAAGACCTGTAGCTTTCTTATTTTTATTGAGTTTAACCTTATATTTATGAACTGAGTTTTAAAATGTGTTTTATATAATTCCCATTGAAGTTGATTGAGCCTTACTTTCCTAATCAAATTAATTTCCATTTTTGACACACAGACTCTATTTCCAAAATGTGACAGAAGTTTGCTGAATGTACCTATAAATTACCAGATGGCAAAAGTGCCCCATACGCCATTAGGATAGGGTAATGGGAAGACAGTGCAGAAGCAACTACCCTCTCTTCCTTTCCGATAGACAATGCAAAGGCAAGTAACCCTCCTACCCTAGCTCAAACCTAACAGAAGACCAGTAATGAGTCTATTTCCAGATCTTTATAGTGACCAAGAAATATTCAGCCAATGTGATCTCAGAGAAATACCACCAAATATCAGTATTTTGTTCCAGATCCAATCTATAAATCAGTCCCTTTAAAATACACAAGGCTACCCAACTACGTACTATTGAAAAACAGTTTTGACAAGTTAACTCATGAATTAAAACTCCCCATGGAGAGGAGTATGAACTACAGAAACAGGAGTAGCAGGAGACCAGGCCGAGGGCTAAATGCTTCAGTGTTATTTCATTCCACCCTTATAAGAATTCATAAACTAGCTTCTGAAGTATTATTAGGCCTTCTTCATAAATGAGGAAATTTACAGAGTTAGTAACCTCGGTAGAATAATCTAGTTCCTAAAATTCAGAGGCAGAATTCAAACCTGGTCTTCTCATTTTTTTCTATACCAGAACAGATATCCAGACAGAGAATGGGGGAGAGAAGCTCATACCTTTGTCCTGTTGAAGGAAATTCTCAATTTCTGTTGCTCTTCTTTCTAAGCCCTTCTTCTAAGCCATTCCTAACCTCCCCCAGGCTCTACCTCCCTTCTGCCTCTACTAAACAGAGACTGGGTATTAACTCTTCCTCAAGCAGAGTATAAACTTTTTTAAAAGAATTATTACTTTATTTAACTTTATTTATTTATTTTAATTTTGACCAGAGAGGGACAAAGTGAGAGAGAGAAGGAAAGTGAGACAGGAAGTCTCCACGTCTAGGACTCAAACCGCGGTTGGCCATGAGGGAGTCCAATGCCCTTAACCACTATGCCACCTGCTGGCCCCAAGAATATAATTTTCATACCATCCAATTTCCATTCTGAAAAAATTATAAAATAATCTAATTTTTTTTTAAATTATTTTTTATTCATTTATATTTTTTTCATTTTTTTCCCCTACATGGCAAGCATGTTCACCAGAGAGAGACAGAAAAGAGAAAAAGTGAGAAAGCAAGCTGCCAGGTCTGGGACTTGAACTGCAGTTGGCCATCTGGGAGTCTTTCAGTTCAGCAACATGCCAATTTAAATACACATTCAAAATTAAATCTTCATGCCATATAGAAGAAGGTTTGCAAAGGATGAACCAAACTGTCAGTTATCGCAGGGAATGGAAGTGAGGATGTTAAAATTTATAGCTTTCCAGAGCCAGCAAATGGTGTAGCAGTTATATCACTGGACTCTCACGTGGCCGACTGCAGTTCAAGTCCTAAACCCAGTGGCTTGAAAATCACACCCGGTGCATGTATGTGCATGCCCAAGATCCTGAAAGGAGAATAGAGGAGGAGTTGTGTCATGGCCATCCCCTTGGGGGGCGGGGGGTGATTTCTTACTTTCCCTCTCAATATCTCTGTGTCTCTGGCAAGTGCACATGCCCTAAGGCAAAAATCTCTTAAAAAAAAAAAAAAACTTACAACTTTCCTTATCATTTACTTGTTCACTGTACATGTATTAATTCAAATGTGTAAATTAAAAATAAAACCTTCGATTAATGTAAACACCATTATTTGAATCCTCACCTAAGAGGTCCTTATCTAATCTCAACGGGAAGTAACTAAATATGACAGAAATCTCTCCCACGAATTAAGGAAACCGCCTCGTAACTATATCAGTTCTCATGTTGAGATCAGTCTTATCTTCACTCAGACCAGCTCCCAAAGTTAGAGTCTACAGTAATAAATATATTTCTGTTGGCTGTCCTCCGGGCTTCCCCTCCACTGCATGTAAGCTGCTCCTCTAACACACCAACCGTGGAGACAAACCTCTACTGGAAGCTCAACCTCCCATTTTAACGGCCCTCATCTGTTCGTACTGTCTGAGGCTCCTTTTCATACATCCTAATTTCTCGGAGGATCTAGCTTATTGAGTTTACAATGTTATGATCTACACTCCATTTCACACTTTCCCAGTCTGTTTCTGAAAGAGACAGGAGGTTCACATGACTCACGGGAGGTAAATGTGAACCTCCTGTCTCTTCCAGAAACAGAGAGCTTCCAGAAGTCTGGGATCTGCACACCACTTTTTATTTTTATTTTTGGTTCAAAATAAAGCCCGTACTCTCTAACATTAGGGGAAAAAGAAATTCTAAGCAAAAATTCAGACATTACTCATTGGTAATCTTTTAAAAAGTACTCAACTATAAGAAAAAGAAAAAAGTGCTTATTTTCTACAGTTGAGTATCTCACTTTGATGTTCAAGTAATATTCAAAGTCACTTAGATTAGTAATTTCATACACATCATCTATTTGTAAAGCAAATCTGTAACTTGGTAAAAGTGAGAACGTAGAATAAACAAGATGACCTTGCTTCAGTATGAAAGCATTTCAATGAAAACATTTAATAAAGGCTAAATCTTTATAAGTTACAAAGAATTTTATCAACACTGCTATCTATAGAAGACTATACCTTCTTGGCATATTCAATTCCAAGTTGTTTTTCAGTTACAGGATTAGAGACCTGTAGGAATTATTAAAGATTATAAGATGCAGTCATACAGAATCGACTCTCTGGTAGCTATAGACAAAAATGGACCTTCAGTGTCGACTACTTTCCTCTTTAGATTGGAGATAAGAGACTTTTAAGAACTATTCAAACGCATCACTGTACTCTGAAATGTTCTGAAGATTCTAGAATAAGGGAGATAAAACAGAATCTAACAGATGGTGGTACATTTTACTACAATAAGCCCACATGTCAGAGGACATTTTATAAGTGATTCTAAAATACAAATGTAAAGAATAAATAGCTGGGCCTCTCAAACCCTCAAAGTCCAGTCCAATATCCATCTCTATTGAGCAAGCCACAATGACTCACCCTCTTAAAATTATCCTGAGTTGGTTTCATAGTTGCAACTACCCAAATGTTTCTGGGAAGTCTCCCAATAAGGGATGCTCAATAAATGTTGACTGGCTCCCAGTAGGCCCCCAGTCAACATCCACTGGATGAACCAAATTATTTATTCCTTTGTGGGGTTTTGGGTTTTGGGTTTTTCTGTTTGTTTGTTTTATTTTTGCTGTAGGGTGCATGTGTTCACTGGAGACACAGAGAGAGAGAAAGTGAGGAATCACCCCTCAGGGGATGGCCATGCCACAATCCCTTCTACTCCATTGTCCTCTTGGGATTTGGGGCACACACACACACACACACACACACACACCTGGCATAATTTTGAAGTCACCAGGTCTGGGACTCAAACCGCAGTCAGCCATGTGGGAATCCAACACTTTAACCACCATGCCACCTGCTGGTCTCTGTATTGCTATTAATGAATCAGCTGTGCAACAAATTCAAAACATCAGACATCAGCAAGTTCACACCCCATGCCACAATCCCTTCTACTCCATTGTCCTCCTGGGATTTGGGGCACACACACACACACACACACACACACACCTGGCATAATTTTGAAGTCACCAGGTCTGGGACTCAAACCGCAGTCAGCCATGTGGGAATCCAACACTTTAACCACCATGCCACCTGCTGGTCTCTGTATTGCTATTAATGAATCAGCTGTGCAACAAATTCAAAACATCAGACATCAGCAAGTTCACACCTATTGCATCTTTTCTCCACATATCAGACCAGGCTTGGCAAACATTTTTCTGTAAAGCTGCATATGGATGTTCAGTTTTGCAGTCCACAAAGTCTCTGCTGCCACTGGTCAACAGAGCAGAAGTAGTCATACATGATGTATGAGGCAGAAGCAGTATGTATGGGGCAGAAGCAGTCATACATAAGATGTAAACAAATGACTATAGCTGTATTCCAATACAATTTTATTTATGAACTAAAATTTGAACTCCATATAATGTTCACATGTCATAAAGCACTTGATATTTTTTTTTCTTCTTTTTTGGGAGAGGTTTTTGCTATAGGGTGCGTGTGCTCGCCAGACATACAGAGAGAGACAGAGAGACAGAAAGCAAGAAATCACCCCCCAGGGGGGATGGCCACGCCATAATCCCTTCTCCTCCATTCTCCTCTCGGGATCTTGGGCACGCACGCACACGCGCCCGGCGTGAGTTTAAGCCACCGGGTCTCCGGGACTCAAACTGCGATCAACTACATGGGAGTCCAGCAACATAGCCATTACGCTAACTGCTGGTCCCTAGCACTTGATATTTTTAACCATATAAAAATTTAAAAACTATCTTTGTCTCCAGGGTCATGAAAAACAGGTGGCATTCTGGATTTCCCCAACGGTCTAGACCTCTCCCCATGGTGCTACTTTGAAGCATGGTTTTAGGAGCAGTAAGAGCTGAGTAGCCTTTTCTGAAAAATAAGTTCTGCAGAATCAACTTGCTGAATTCTCTACAACCTTTTTTCTTCTCGTCTGCAATTTCAACTCACAAAAACTTGAAATTAGAAGAACTGAGGTAACAGGGGCTATAAAACTCACTTGTTAATATCTAACCATAACAGTGCTGACTGATAAAAAATGTTTTCCCTTCATTGGAAAATTACATTAAAGTCTTTTCATTATACAGAGATAATTTCTCTATCTACTGTGGATGAGATGCAATTCTACTTCCCTCTAGCCTGACTCAAAATTTTGGCTTGAGTTAATAAAACACAAATAGAAGCTGTGAACTATCAGTTTTCATCAATAAAAAGAGATAAAAAATAGTAACAACATAAACATTAATAGGTTTTGAAAGGCTAGCAAAAAAGTATTCTCAGTAGCTATGTAAATTGGTAAAATCATTCTGGAAAGCTGTTTGGCAAAATTTACAGAAGGTTAAAAGGTACATAACTGAAAAAAACATTTTCTCTGTGTCACAATCCTCCCATCTTTGTCCCAACTGGGACTGTAGGCACATACCACCATACTGCCTTCAGGTTGGACCAGGAATTGAACTTGGGCCATCCATATGGTCCCAGCCTGCAGAACACAGTGTTTAGCAGTGTATGCCACCATGGCTGGGCCAGTACATAACGTTTACATTTCTAGAAATGTATCTCAAGAAGATAAGCAGACAAGTTAAAACATATGTATTACAATGAGTTGTACACTTTGAAGTTTATAATCATGAAAAGATTAAAACTATTTAAATGTCTAACATAGGGTCTGGTTAAAAGCATTACAGATGGTATACAATTGAATTCTAGGTAGCTATAAGAAATAGTGATATAGATAAGTAGTTAACACAGATATGTTCACAATATACTGAAAGAAAAAAGCATATGACAAAACTGCTTGATCTTAATTACGTACATGCTATTCATGTATGCACCCATGTGTGTCAGAGATCAAAGAAAAACAGACTCAGAGAAGCAGAAAGCTGAAAGAATGTTCACCAAGATGTTCATAGTGGTTATTCCTGGGTGGTAAAAGTTTACATGATTTTTATTGTTTTGTTTATATTTTTCTGTATTGTTCATTTTATTTTGAGATGAGTATGTATTACTCCTAAAAAGTGAGACTTACTAGAATGTACAAGACCAAGAGTGAACCCCAATGTAAACTATGGGCTTTGGGTGATGGTGTCGTGTCAACGCAGGTTCATCAACTGTAACATTTGTCCCACTCTGGTGCCGGAGGTTGACGGCGGGGAAGGTCTGCACACATGGGGTTGGGGCGTGGTAGATGGGGATCTCTACTTTCCATTCAATTATGCAGTAAACCGAAAACTGATCCAATAAATAAAGACTCTTAAAAAATACTTACTGAGGTAATTCTTATTGAAACAATTCAAAGTTCTATTCATTAGGAGCAATTTAAACTCCAAAGAAGTCGATTTGAAAGGATTTTATCAGAGATGCCATTAAAACACTGCAGACTGCTCACCGTGAATGGGGACAAGCAAGAAAAGCCCTACGAGAAGTTTCAGCTAGCTAGTAGCTCCCTGCCGACTGTTCTATGTTCACCCTGAGGATATTCTACTGTTTCTCTCCAGTTATTTCTGACTTAAGAGAATTTTTTCAGTGAAAGCTTAGAGGACTTATGACTAGGTTAGATAATCAAAGACTCAAGAAAAGCAATTTAACACTTTGTCTTAGACTGGCTTCAAAATGGAGTTCCAGCTGGGGTATACACCCTGCTGCTAAAAGATAAGCTGGTCTTAAGGGGCTTTGATGGAAGAACAAATGCCAAGGTGAGATTCTGGTGATAAGCTGGTTCTGTTACGTTAATTAATAAGAGCTTTTGATGCAAGTCTGAGGATAAGACCAGGGTAGAGATAAATAAATGGGAAAATTCTAAATTTTACTTCCATTTTCATTTTCTTCTTTATAAGAAATATGTAATTACAATATATACTTCCTATACTTTGCCACAGGCATAATTATATAAATAACTTTTAACAGAGTAAACATCTTAAAATGTTTCTATATCAATGCATATCTTATAGTAGGAACTATCTGAAAGAGGTTCAGAATTTTTTTAAGAATCATTTACTTAAACTTATTTACTTATTATTATTATTATTATTATTATTATTTTCATTTGCTACAAGGCACATGTGCTTAACAGAGCAGGGAAGAGAGAAAGTGAGAAACCAAGATGCCAGGTCTGGGACACGAACCATGGTCAACCATGTGGGCGTCTAGCACCTAAACCACCATACCACCTGCTGGTCCCCAGATTTTTTTTTTTTTAATTGCAGGTGAAAAAGTCAGCCTTGACAAGATCAAAATCTTTTAACCTAAGAAGAACTGTTAATATCATGTATAAGAAGTATCTTAAATTAACAATAAGATGGTAACAAATGCATAGTGAAAATCAAGTTCCTGATAATGTCATAGTTCCAATTTACAATTTTTCAACAAGCAATCAAGTATCTAAATGAAGCTTAACTTACAAAAGGCACAATCAATCATTTATATAATATTCCCTAAATATCAAATTGTTATATTGGATAAAAACAGGCACCTTTAACTTACGTTTAATATTGATGGCATTCATTCGAGATTAGCATTACACAGATTCTGGTTCCTTGACATAATTCTCACTAGTAGATTAACGCTAACCCGGTAGATTATATTTGTTAGTTTCCCTTAGGAAACTTACAAATTTAAAAACACAATTTATTTGAAGGTATAATTCCGTGGTCAAGACGTTTTTAATCATTCAGGCACTGTCTTACGTAATTAATACCATCCTTCAGTTGGGCAGTTTTGTAAACACAGAGCTCTTTTACCTCAAAGTGGTAAAAATCGTATAAAGCAATCATTCTCATGGTAAATCCTTTTTCCTAAAGCCACAGAAGGTTAACAGTCAGAAGACACATTGTGATAGCATCATAGAAAGAAAGAAACTCAAAATTACTGGAAGAAACTCGGATTTTTCGTGTTAAAAAACACAACTGACAGCACTCAGAAGAACAGCAGTACATCTCAAACATACAAATGTTACAGAATCATATTTTAGTTTTAAGCTTTTCTATGATAATGTGTGAGAAACAGCTGTGATTCAATTTAAGACATTCAAATAGGAATACTTTCCTCAACATCCAAAAACTTCACTTGCTTTAAAAAGGAGGCCATGTAATTCCTTTAAGAAAGTGAGGAGCTTCTCAGGACTCTGACTTCAACATAAATGCTGAATTTCAATGCAATATCCCCGAAAACAGCCACAAAAACAAATGATATCTTCACAAGGATCCTATGAGATCAGAAAAGTCATTACGCATTTTTGCATAGAATAGTGTGCATGACTTTTCTGACCATCCAACATCTCTTATCATCCCCATTTTTTCAAATTGAGGATTTTCGGGACCAGCAGTGGGCAAAATGCTTATGTCGCTGAACTCCCACACAGTCGACCGTGGTTTGAGTTCCAGACCCTGCAGCTTAAAATTCACAGCAGGCACCATGTGCGTGTGTTCCCAAAATCCTGAGAGGAGAATAAAGGAGGGATTGCAGCGTGGCCATCCCTCCAGGGATGGGGGTGTGATTTCTCGCTTTCTGTCTTTCTGTCTCTGGCTCTCTGGTGAGCGCATGCGCCCTATAGCAAAAGTCCTTTAAAATAAATAAATAAATAGAGGATTTTCTAGGCCAGAGGTTAAGTCTCCTGCTCAACATCACGCAGCTAGAGATGGCATCTGAACCCAGGCAACGCACGGTGACGGTTCTCCTGCTTCACTGTTAGGCAGGAGAGACAGACTCTAATTCTGCATCAACACTGCTCTCCAATGTGAGTAACCCTGGCAAGGATAGTTCATCTCTGTTTCCTGACTATATCTCCTCTAAGCATAAAATTAGAAAAATGAAAAAGTTCTGAAAAATTAGCTCTGTGTAAATGTGCCATGTACTAAATATACCCAACTCTGAATATCCCAGCAACAGAGAAATTACTCTAAACTACAGAGAAGGCCCTAACGGTGTTTTCTGTGCAGCTACCTTGGAATGTCTTTTATTGTGCATGTCTGGAAGCCTGTACTGTGGCACAGAAAGTCAAGGTCTTAGGCACAAAGCAAAACACCCTGGACAAAGCAATGTAAAAAATGGATTTGAAATTTACTGTTGAGGACAGCCAAGCAGTTTCAAAACACAAAAGCATATCTAAATAGCATTCTGTATCCAGAGAAACACTACTTCTCTTTAATGGAAGTATTCTTGATTTTAAAGAACATATTAAAATGATTGCTTTAATTTCGAAATGTCAAATCCCAATAAGACAGAATGACAACTTAAAAATGTATGGAACTCTGATAAACAAAGAACCAGAATTCTTTCTTACCTCCCACATGTATACATTATTCTTAACCTGAGATCTTTTTTTCTTATCACCAACAAATGGCCCAAACTTTTTGCCTTTTAAAATTGGTTTAGTGGCCCAGACACCTAGAAAATAAAACCAATATTTTTATAATGTATTATGGTTATTTTAAAGATCGAAAGCATCAAAATCAATTCAATTTCACAAAATAGTTAAGAAGCTCAACTGCCTAAAAGCAAGATAATGTTAAATGAACCGAGCTCAAGTTATATCGAATTAAATAAGGTCTTCAGTGGGTTTCCTTTTTTTTTTTTTTTTTTTAAGTTTTGCTATAGGGTATGTGTGCTCATGAGAGACAGACAGAGAGAGGGAAAGTGAGAAATCATCCCCCGGAGGGATGGTCACACTACAATCCCTCCTCTAGTTTCCCCAGGATTATACACAAAAACATGTGCCCAGCATGATTTTCAAGTCACTGGGTCTAGGACTCAAAACATGTAGTCAGTCATGTAGGATTCAGCACCTTAATCACCAGTCCACCTACTGGCCACTCAAGTGGAAACTTTGTTTTGTTTTTTTTTTGAGAGGTTTTTGCTATAGGGCACGTGCACTGGCCTGACAGATAGAGACAGACAGAGAGACAGAAAGCAAGAAATCACCCCCCCAGGGGGTATAGCCACACTGCAATCCCTTCTCCTCCATTCTCCTCTTGGGATCTTGGGCACGCACGCACACACGCCCGGCGTGAGTTTAAGCCACCGGGTCCGGGACTCGAAAGGCGGTTGGCTACATGTGAGTCCAGCGACATAGCCATTACGCTAACTGCTGGTCCCTCAAGTGGAAACTTTTTATTTCTCCTCTTTATTCCATAAAGAACTTAGATTGCTTTATGCCTAGGAAATAATGGTTTATATTTTTCAGTAGTTTTATCTATTTTTCCCCCTAGGATACCACATTACCATGCCAAGATCCTCCCCTCTCCACCTCTTCAAATTACTGAGAATATAGGTGCACCCCCACCATACTCAGCCTTCTTGATTGGACCAGGAATCAAAAACAAGTTTCCTATGCAGTCCCATCCTGAGAATCACAATGTCTTAGCAGGACATGCCACTGAGGCTGGGTCTGTTTTTAATTTTCACATGAAAACTATCCATACAGTACCATCACAAGTACTTAAAGAATAACAAAATCACAATAAATGTAGAGCATAAAATATCAAAATGGAGTAAAGCTAGAAATAATTTTTAAACTCTTTGCTCTTTTCATAGATACTAAATTATCTCCAGTGAACACAAGTGGTTTTTATAAAAGGTGAGAAATACAGTCTGATGAATAAATATTTTTCAAATCTGCTTGCTTAAAATAGAAAATCCTCTCCTCCCTGGTTAAACTTCCTGAAAAGTTAGCTATTGGAATAACTCATTTTTCAGAATTGCAAGTAGCCAAAATACATGCTCATCCATGGTATTCTTAGAGGTACTTCTATTTCCTATGCACTGACTACAACGCAAACCAACACCAGGAAGCTGTCAGTAAAGCAGCAGGAGCTCAGCCCTGGAGTCAGGAAAGACGGCACCCAGAGCCGGCACCCACCATCACCTCGGGCAGGTCTCGTCACCTTTCAGCTTCCGTTTCTTCAGGTACAGAACAGGCGTGGAGGCTGGGCCAAGCCTGTCCAGCTAGCTATGAATTGCATTTGATAATACAGCTAACAATCTTATCAGTTGAGCAATAAAATCAACCACTATCATTTGAATAATTTGACATAAATACTCATATTGCTCACTGAGTAAATTTTCAGTGAGAATAAAGAAAAGCATTTATCAAGAATTTCCTCACACACATATACATGTAAAGTGGAGTATCATAAATACATATAAAGAAAAAAGGAGAAACAGGATATAAACACTACGTTCTGAGACTGTGTTTTGACGGGTTTCTACAATTTACTTCCTTAGCCTTCTGTCTAAACATTAGGCTATAAAAACAAGACCAAACACACACAAGCGTGGTTTGTGTTCAACAGGAAGTGCCAGCCAGAAGCATGCAGACATGCTCAGGTCATGTCATTCACTCAATATCCACTGAAGGTCCATGAAGTGTCTGGTACTGGAGACAGGAGGGTAAACAAGAAACAAAGGCACTCACATCCATGACAGGAACAGACGTAAAAACAATTAAAGTTATGAAGTAAATATAACAGCAATCATACTCACATCACCGTGGAATCGGAGAGCAGAGAATACCACATTTTGTGGGATGAGGCCCAAAAACAGACGAGAGAAGGGGCACAGAGGATGTGTGTATTTGTGCGTGTGTGTGTTCCTGATTTTATTTTTATAATCTATGTCCACCTGCCACCCTGGATTTTTGACTGGAACGCGCATAAACACCGCAGTCTTCTAAGTCGAGTGTACATGTGCTGCCTTTCCGATGCACTTCCTACCTCATGTGACCCCATGGGAAGCCTTGCCGTCGCCTGCTCTTTACTACCCGACTGACTCTGTAACCGGAGTACTCACCAATGCGATTCTTATCAACAGCAGATGGGAAAAGCCTCACTTCCTCCGGAAGTCCTCGCAGCACGTGTTCAGGCACCTGGGCCAGGGTCTCAGTGGCTGCCACAGGCTCAGTAGAGGACTGGAAATCAAGAAACAGGAGGGACTAGCAGTTAGCGTAATGGCTATGTTGCTGGACTCCCACGTAGTCGACCGCGGTTCAAGTCCCAGACCCAGTGGCTTAAACGCACACCGGGGGTGTGTGCATGCGTGCCCAAGATCCCAAGAGGAGAATGGAGAAGGGATTGTGGCATGGCCATCCCCCCTGGGGGTGATTTCTCGCTTTCTGTCTCTCTGTCTGTCTGGCAAGCGCACACGCCTTATAGCAAAAACCTCTCCAAAAAAAAAAAAAAGAAGAAGAAAAGAAACAGAAGGATTGTAACAGCAGGAAGAGAACCCAAGCAGTGCTTTTTTGTTTCTCTTTTATGGTTCAACAAGCAAGTATGCAAAACTGTAACTGAAATCAGAAGCTGGCAAGCCAGATCAAAATGATGATATCAGGCATTTGGGGAGTATGCTGATGCTTATTTTTGAGTGTCCAAAGGAAATCACTGCAACTTCGAGCACATCTGTGTTCATCTATTTTGTTAAAACCACCTGTCGCCATTTTCAAACTATATAAACCTCTAGCACCTTACTGCCTTAAAAATTGATAGAATCTGGCAGCAAAATATAACTTAAGCTTTCTTTTAAAGCAAAGGCTATCATCAGCATGTTACTGTGTTTTAAAAATAAAAATTGGACCTGCTCTGTGGCCTGGTGGTTGTGACAGCTGGATCCCACATGGCTGATGCATGGTTCGAGGCCCAAATCCGGCAGCTTGAGAAACATGACGGCACGTGTGCTCAAAATCCCAAAAGAAGAGAGAAATGGGAGAGGAAGAATTGAGGTGTGAACATTTCCCACAGGGGATGGGATGTTTTCTCCCCTCTCTCTCTTTCTCTCTCTCTCTCTCTGTCTCTCTCCATGGAGCACACATGGCCCCTAGAACAAATAATAAATAAATAATAAATTTTTTAAATTTAAATACAAATCAATACTCCTCACTTGAATACTTTCGGCACACACTATAAAGGCCACACTAGCCAACCCATCCCTGCCCCACTCACTTTTGTCTCCCTCCATCAACTATCTACAACTTGAACAGCACTTGACTATCCCACCAAGAACACCACAACTTATTGGGTTTTCCTCACTGGAAGTGCAACCTTCTCAGGAGACAATAATTTACCACTGTACGTCAAGTCACTAATACCAAAGTCATGACAATGTGACATAGTAAGAAACAGAATTTGAAACAATCCCTTTTCAAAGTTTAGGCTGGAATTCATCATAACTTTAATAACTAAGATTAACCCTTCCATATGTAAGGAAGGGGTAAGATCTGTGCCAACTCTTAGAACATTTCCCTTCAAATCAAAGGAAGGCCAGTATCTGCTAACTGGTATCAAGTAACTGGTGCGCATTCTGGGGCACCACTAAAAACCATGGATTTCGTATTATTGAGTATGTTTTATTTCACTGCCAAGTGAAATGCTTCTCAAGAATTTTCAGAGGAGGGAACCAGCAGTTAGCGTAATGGCTATGTCGCTGGACTCCCACATAGTCGACCACGGTTCACGTCCTGGACCCGGTGGCTTAAAATTCACGCCGGGCGCGTGTGCGTACATGCCCAAGATCCCGAGAGGAGAATGGAGGAGAAGGGATTGCGGCGTGACCATCCCCCCTGGGGGGTGATTTCTCGCTTTCTGTCTCTATGTCTCTCTCTGTCTGTGTGGCGAGCACACGCGCCCTATAGCAAAAAACCTCTAAAAAAAAAAAAAAGAAATTTCAGAGGAATCAATATAGACAAAAAGCAAACTCCAAACTGAAAGGATTAACTTTTCCCTTGATGATGAAGCTTTTCTAGTTTCTAACAATATTTTGTATCAAGAAAAGAATATCCAAATTTGTGTACTCCCAACATTCAACCTTGTTCATCTGGGGGGTTGTTTTTTTCTTCCCCCCTTCTTTTTTTTTCTCCTTTTATTTTTTGGCTTTTTCAAGAGAAATGAATCTGACAGTTATTATGAAGGTCTACTCTCTGGCCTGCTTCAAGTTGGAAAGCCCAAGATCCCATGTCTGCAGACAGGCTCATGTCTGGGTCAGCATTGCACAAACAGGACCTACACTAGGAAGCAAAAAGGCTTTGCTCTTGCTTGATGTACACTGTTGTCCCCACAAGACCCCCAAAAAGCATTCCAAAATGCAGCAGTATCAACTCTGCCTCAGAAAATGGCCGTATGGTACTTTTAATTAGCTACAGTGTGAATAAATTTGGCACGCACATTTCTCACTTCTAAATATAGCATCTCCACTTAAAATTTTAATCTGTAAACTGAATATTTAGAAATGTACAGAATTTTTTCCAAAGAGGTAAAGATATGAAAGTGTTAAGTGGTATCCTAGGTTACATAATAATTATAACACTAATAAATTACAAATACCAAAGTTGTAAGTCCTCTTAGCACTAGCCATTTAGTACCATAAGGGGGGATTTTCTGCCCCCTTCTTGGTTGTGATCTGAGGCAAAGACGTGGCTCCACTCAACCTCCCAGGAGCACTGCACTTTGAACTCAGCGACTCTACAACACCCAACTAATACTTACAGACACTGCTGCAGTAACACTAGCAATAAAGCACATGGCGTGCACGCGCGTGCACACACACACACACACACACAAACAAGGCACTGTGCTATTCGAACCCATCCTACATGCAGTTTACTAGAAACATCTCAGGGAGGCAGGAACTATCACTGTCCCCACTACTGCCCCCAGACTGAGGAAGAAATTGAGACTTTGGGAAGTTGTCAAAATTGCTCAAGGCCTAGATTTGAAGCCCTATCTGTATGAATCCAAGCTTATAACCACTGTAGGGTTTCTAGGTAAGATTCTGATGGGCTACAATCTGAGAACCTCTGCCCTAAAACTTCCAGATTTCCATAAAGTGTCAATAGGCAATGGGGCCTATGGCAGGAATGGTCATTCCCACAGGAAACTCCCTATGTGAGTGTAAGTTGAAGACCACATGTATTACAATTTCTGAAACACCTGGGAAGGAAAAGGATTCAGGCAGAACTGTCATTGGAAAAAGACATAAAGATAATTCCTATGAAAGCGTTTACCTGCTTTAGGTCAACCCATAATTTCTAATTTAGGCTCAATTACCCAGGAGAGGAAAGCTTTTTCTCAGTTTGTTATAGGACCCTTCAGACTATCACAAAACTCAACTAAACAGAAACAAACCAAGCCCCACGATGACCAGCCCCAGGGCCTTCCCTCCCACCTCCCCCGCTTTGGGAGTCTCCAGTGCAGTGGAGGCTGCAACCTGCCAGGATCATTTTTAGAGAAGAAGAATGGAGACTCATGGGATGGCCTGCCTAAATAGAACCATCCTCTCCCCTTCCCTATTTCTCCTTCACAGTTCTTATCATAGTTTTAAATAATTATTTGAATAATTATGTGTTTAATGTGTGCCTCCCAGTGAGACCGCAGTGAAGACAGATGGCATCTCTTAAGCATTGGTGAATTCCTAGTGTTTAGCAGCAGACTTGAAATGTTTGTTGTCACTTAAATACTTGAATGAGAGCATGACTGTTTCTTTCATGAGAGAGACAGAGAATCGGGCACCCTCAAAAGGGTCTTCACAATCCACTCCCAGCCCAGCAGCCACTCAGGACTACGGGCACTCCAGACTCTCCAGACAGACCGGGAACTAGAACCTCGAGCCTTCCCATATGTCTTCCAAAATCACACAGTGCCCCTACTGCGTGTGCCACTGCTGCTGGGCCTGTCAGGAAGTGTTTCTTCCAAATGTGCCTTAATTTCTTAAACTTGAGGTAGATATTCTTCTGGGTCAATATAGGGATTCCTTTTTAGAAAATGCAATATGCTTTTAATTCCAAGTAAGCTATTTATAAGTACATCTTCTAAACAAAATGATGTTAAAGAAAGATCACCCCCTCCCCCACAGACATAATACTCATGAGTATTATACATATACATTATACATATCTTGATAGGACTAGACATAATATATTCTAAGCAAGGGCCATTTAGTTTGTATGCTAAAGAATTACTATTGGCCCTGGAATCATTTCCCAGATTAATCTTGCCTAAAAGACACTGCAACATCTACTCAAATAGCTTATGAAAATATTTTTCAATACCTACTGTGGACCAGAAAATGTCTATGAATCACATTTGACTCAAAAATGCACCACTCTGATAAGGAAGACAAACAAACATATGCAATGCCTGGTATGCTGAATACAAACTAAGCACTAAAAAGGGGACATGGAGATGGAGTAGAGGCAGGGGAGCCACTCCACAGAGATGGAGTAGAGGCAGGGGAGCCACTCCACAGAGATGGAGTAGAGGCAGGGGAGCCACTCCACAGAGATGGAGTAGAGGCAGGGGAGCCACTCCACAGAGATGGAGTAGAGGCAGGGGAGCCACTCCACAGAGATGGAGTAGAGGCAGGGGAGCCACTCCACAGAGATGGAGTAGAGGCAGGGGAGCCACTCCACAGAGATGGAGTAGAGGCAGGGGAGCCACTCCACAGAGATGGAGTAGAGGCAGGGGAGCCACTCCACAGAGATGGAGTAGAGGCAGGGGAGCCACTCCACAGAGATGGAGTAGAGGCAGGGGAGCCACTCCACAGAGATGGAGTAGAGGCAGGGGAGCCACTCCACAGAGATGGAGTAGAGGCAGGGGAGCCACTCCACAGAGATGGAGTAGAGGCAGGGGAGCCACTCCACAGAGATGGAGTAGAGGCAGGGGTGCCGCTCCCCGGAGGTGGAGTAGAGGCAGGAGGGCTGCTCTACAGAGATGAGTAGAGGCAGGGGTGCCGCTCCCTGGAGGTGGAATAGAGGCAGGGGTGCCACCCACAGAGAATGCTTACGGAAGACCTCTCTAGAAGTGGGAACGGGGTACAGGGGATACATGCCAGGAAAGGGCTACTGAGGACCAAAGCCTGAGTTAGGGAGAGGCCTGGCGTGCTCAGAGAACAGATGGGCAGGAAGCCCACTGTCCCGGACAG